TCCCGCCCCGGCCCGCTCTGACCGGCAGCTGGGTCGCGGGGCGCCCTCACCGGGGGTCGGCGCGCTGACCGTCCGGCTGGCGAGGCCGAGGTGGCCAGGGTAGGGGACACACCTGGAGTCTGTGTCTCGGTCTTGGAACGGACACCACGAACTTCACGGGCGAGTAACTTGCTGTTGAGTAAAACTTCACCGCCTGGAGATCGTGAGAGGCAGGTGCGTTCCGGGAACCGCGAGGTCTCCAGGCGTTTCATGGTGATGGGTTCTTGGGGCGGGGATGTTAACTGGATCCATGCCTATCTTTATGGTTAGTTTCAGAATTCTCCCGAGGAGAGAGAAGACCCAACTCTTAAGCCGTTTGGGAAAGAAAAATACAGCTTTTCTTTTGTAGGAATAAGAAAAATACGTATAATTACGAGGGCTCTTCTAAAGTTCATAGAAAATATGGGTTATGAAAAAATTATGAATGGATTTCAAAATTTTCCTGCAACAGCACATAAAACTCGTACTTCAGTAGCATGTTCCCACGAACTCTTTGGAGTTCCTCCATACATTTCTTTTTAATTTTAAAATTTCACTCTCAGGTTCCTGTGCTCTCTGGAGAGACAGAGACCAAGTGACAAAGCACCTCCGAGGGCGGGTGGCTATTGCAATTCTCCGTTCTCCCCTCGGACGCACGCATATGGAACCCAGGCTCCAACCACCGCGTCATGGGTTGCCTCTTACTGTTCTGATATAACCCACAGCTCTCTTACCTCGGCCTTTAATATCACCCACCTGTTGCCATATTGAATTATTTGTACATACAGGATAATTTGCATCGTTTTAAAAATAAGTTAACTTTATTAGAAAACAGTATGTTTAACTTTGCTTGTGTTAATTTACATTATCTTTATTGGGATTAGTTGGACAAAAGATACTGTTATCTTTATCAAAAAGCAACTAATTGCTTAACAGATTGTGACACCCCTCCCAGTCATGTTCTAGTAAACACATTTTATTATGACACACTTTTGGGTTCTGGAGTTGTTTTTGTTTTTGGTAGTGAGATGTAACAGATGGAGTACTTCAGTTTGCCTTTCCTTGATTGTAAAGGAAATCTTTCATCTTAGGTTGTTGTCAAAAAGCTAGAAATTACATATTAAAAACTACCACTTTTTTTTTTTTAAACCACACAACCTCAATCCAAAAATTTCACTTTATCATGTAAGTGCATCAGGCGAGTTATTTATTGAGTGCTTAATATACAGGTTGCCATGGTAGGTCACAGTAGTGAACAAGTCAGACTTGTGTCTGGTGGGGAAAATAGTTAGGAAAAAAAAATTCAACAATTAAATATTTAATTACAGTTTCTGTGAGTGTTATGCCGAAAAGGTTTCGAGTGCTAAAAGGGGCATCTAGTTTGGACTCAGGAGTCTGGGAATGCTTTTCTGAGGCAGAGGCATTTTGGCTCTAAATCTGAAATTAGCCATGTGAAGTGGGAGGGGGTGGGAAAGAGGCAAAGTGGAGAGAGAACATTCCAGAAAGATGGAACAGCTAACATAAAAAGATCTAGAATGAAAAAGAGACATGTTGAGCCGGAAGAGTGCTGGAGCAGAGTAGCAGGGGGCCTCCAGCAGGGTCAGGCAAGTAGGAGGAGCTCCCATCGGGAAGCAGGGCCATTAAAGATTTTGAAACTGGAACTGTATGGGTGCTAAAAATCCACTGGTTGCAGCATGATTGGAATTGTGTGGGGAGCAGTGGGATGGGAAAAGTGAATATGGGGAAACTTTCTGCTTAACAATTCTTTAACAAACTTGAATGACTTATTTCATATATTCTTACTATAAGCTCTCCAGCATGACCCTCAACAGTTGGAATGTCTACTGTGTGTGTGAATGTGTGTGTGTGTTTGTATGTGTATTTTTCCTATCCCAATGAGGGGTAATACTTTATTCATTTTTCTGTGAGTGGATTTTTCACTTACAACCAGAGAGGGAAAGTGAGAAAACACTCCATAGGGTTGATCATGCTGCAGTCCCTTCTCTTCCATCACTGCCTTCTTTCTGGATTTTGGGTACACACACATGTGTTTGGTGTATTTCTCAAGCCACCAGGTCTGGGACTCAAAGTCTGGTTGGTCATGTGGGATCCAGCCACCTTAACTGCTGGCCCTGGGCTGACCCAAAAACTTTAAGTCAGTTATGCCCTGAAAAATTATTGTTCCTACATTTTCCTAGAACATACATGTGACTTTTCTTTATACTAGCCTTCCTACCCACACATCAACATTTTTAATAGTGTTTTCAAATCTCTCTTTAAAGAAGATAGTGTGTGAGGGTGATTGTTTTTCTCACATGGACAAAATATATTTGTTTTGTTTTTAAAAAATATCTTTAATTGTCAGAGGGCATGTGTGCTTGCCAGAGAGAGAGTTGAGATAGGAGGGCACAAGGACACTCTGCACTGGGGTGTGATCATGCCACAGTCTTTTTCCCTTCGTTTTTGCATCCTGATGGGATTTGCGGCATATACACATGTGCCCTGGGTGTTTTTCAAGCATCTGAGGCTGGAATTTGATCAGTGGTTGGCCGTGTAGAATCTGGCTTTCTAAACAAAGTGCTTAAAAGCAGTGCTATGGGACTGGCTCAGTGATATTTTCATTTTTTAATTTGGATTTTCTTGGTTACTGTTGAAATTCATATATTTTTCTAATGGACATCCTTTTTTTAAATAATTATTTTATTTAACTTTGACCAGAGAGGGGTGCGCGTGAGAGCCAGAGAGAGAGAGAGAGAGAGAAAGGGAAAGGGAAAGCGAGAAAGCAAGCCGCCAGGTTCAGGACTCAAACCGTGGCTGGCCCTGTGTAAGTCC